GAGAGAGAGAGAGAGAGAGAGAGAGAGAGAGAGAACTGAAATGTGTTTTCAATGTAATATGGTTTATTTTGAAAAACTGAACTTATGTTTATTCTTGTTAAATTGTGATATTATTTTGATATATTATTGTTGCTGTAATTGTGTGTTTATAATGCCTCGAAGGTTAATACTGAATAAATTTTGTCATCTCTTGTAATATAGAATATTGACAGAGATTTGGATCACTTTGTAATTGAAAACTGAATATCAATGCCTTTGTTAGCGAAAAAAGGTTCGGATGAAAGAAGAGCTCAAATCAATAGTTCTGCAAAGAATACGTTAAGTACTGCCAATACATCGGCTTCTTCTCGAGTGCTGTTAAGTCCGCAAAGTCATGAGGCAATGCTCGACACGGGTTTGGGTGTCTTCAGCACCAGTACTCCTCCTCTTTCCAGACAGAGAAGACATTCAAAACTACATTTAAGGGTTGCCTCAGAAATCAGGGTTGATGTGGATCAGGATTCTGGTCCACAAAACACCGTTAATAAGGATCGATACAGAATTGTAATCATGGGCTCCAGTGCTGTGGGAAAGACTGCAATTGTTGAGCAATTCCTTTACGGTAAGCGATCAAGAATTGGCTTTTTTATAACAAATGCTTTATTGAAAATACAGACATTCTTTTGTTTGCTGTATAAATGTGTTGAGAATTTATGTGAGAAATGAATGAACGGATGAGCTGTGAAATTAAGTAATTATATAATGCATTGGCTTTATATAACAAATTGTTCACTTATAGCACATAAATCTATGGATTTGTGATTTAATTATTTTTTGGTCTATAAATGTCTTTTTAATACTAGCATTACTCGTATACTCTATAATAGTAATGTCAAAATGTTTGAATAGCTGTCAATAAATAGGCAGAGAATCAAAAATCAATTTTACTTTATTATAAATTCTTATATAATAAAGAATTTTCTTACTAAATGAAACATAAATTTTTAATCATTTGTTTTAATGACATTGTTAAAAAGTCTTTTAACAAATTGTTTATTTGAATAGATTGATATTTTATAAATTTGCAATGAGATTACAAATTTAGCATTTTATAGCAAGTTATAGTAAGTAATAATTTTGTTTGATTGGCTAATGTTACAAATATTACGAGTAACAAATTTATTGAACATTAAATTTCTATATTTTGATCACTAATTATAACTTAATGTAATTATTTGGCAAATAAATTCAATGAGAGAATAATAGTTATTTTATGTCAAATTTATGCATTTTTCCATTTGTTAATATAATTTAAGGCTTTGAGAGCAGAACTAATGGGAAATTACAGAACTAATGACAAGAGAATTATTTCCTTTTTTTAATATTTACCAAATAATAGATTTATATTATTATTTATAAATTATTAATCTAATGGACCAAACTGTGCATCTTTACCAAATAGATAAGCATTTGTCTCGTAATTATTTTGCTAAATTATATTTTGAAGTGATTCTTATGATATATTCAATAGTTATTGTATTGTATTTAACATTTAATAAATTATTTATTTATTGTTAATTAAAATCTTTTTTACATACATTTTAAAGTTATGGTTATTACATGTAACATATTTAACTTGTGTATATGAGATAATAATAATACGAGATATACTAACTTTAAACATTAAAATTATTTTATTTATTTTTAAGTGTAGTTTTCATTTAAGTAGATGGTTTTATGCAAATGTTTATTAAATATTTAATATTTATTAATCCTCATACAATGCATATGATGTAATTTAATTTAAAGTCAGAATAGATAAATTTATATTGTTATCCCATAAATATTTACTGTACAGTAAATGAATTTTTTCTTTTGTTTATAAAGGAAAATAATGTAGACAATTTACCTTGGTATTTAAAAAAAAATGAGCAATCTTCCAACACTATTACGAATACAATATGCACAATGTTTTGTCATTAAAAATTTAAATTCCTTCTATTATTTAAAAATAGTTTATATAAACTCTAATTAAAATAACAAACAATTAAAAAGAAAATTCCCGGAATGTAAACATAAAAATGCATACAATTAAGTAAACTATATTTTGTGATTAAACAAAGCTTTTGAGAATTGAGTTATTTTAAACGAAACGTGTAATGTTGTGAATGTGTTAAATATTTTATCAACATATTTGTTGTGGTCCTCCAATTGGCTGGACTTTTATATTGAATTTATGTTGAGTTAAAGTTTGTATTGAAAGATGTGTTGAACGGATAAATTGCATCAAATTTAATCAAAAAGCATTTAATCCATTATTGATACCGAAAACAACATTTAAAATAATTACAAATATTGTTCTGTAAGTTACTATAATTGTCGTATAGAACTTCTCGGTGTGAAAGCCTTTTACGATATTATTTGTACATCATTTGATTTGATTTTATTAAATGATAGCATTATGTACTTCATATTTATGTATATTAATACTTTAATCATCGCATTTGTGACTAAATTATATTCAGCTAAAATACAAAACAATATAAATTAATTGTAATAAATAAGTGATTTAGATTATTAGCTTGGTAAGATTTACGTAAACAAGTTGGTGAATGACCATTCATTTTAATGACAACGTCAAAGTATCTCATTTATAAACCACTTTTCTATATATCGAAGACAAACAGTATCTACAGTATTAATATTTCAATTCACTTACTGTAATGCTATACCAGTAAATCGTTTACCAATTATTGTGATATTAAGCATTTGTTCAAAGAAAAGACAAATTGTTATTTTATCTATAATTATATCAATCATATATCGGGTGTTCGCAGACATATTGACCCCAAATGTCAATCGCGAATCAAGATGTCTATACAGAATTGCATTATAATTGCAAAAAATATTATTTAAATTTCACCATAGTCATTATTTTATTCTGTTTGTGGAAAATTGTAAAATGTTATATATGGTATATTCCAAGTTAAATGCTCACACTATTTTATCAGTATGTATACGGTATATACTGTAATTCCCTCACTGTTAGCATAAACACGAATTTTGAATTAATAACAGAGTATTAATTTATTATATCCTAATACTATATAAATAAATTTTATTTATCAGTTAATTGTTTAGCATTACATAGAAAACAGTAGCTATTATTCATTTGTCACAAATTCTTTCACATCTCATAAATATTCTGTTGTATACTCTCTTATCAGTGAACATATTCTACATTATAATATACTGTCATATGCCGTAAATCAGAGTATAATATTTGTTTCGCTTTTGTATAATGTTATTGTTGCGAACAAAACGCCTTAAACTCATATTGAATCAGATATTGATTTTTAAAGAGTGATATTTTTGATATAAAATATTGATAACTAATTCATAGAGTATTGTTTGTTTTAAAAACATTGTGCAAGAATATTAAAAACGTGATCATTACAGTAATTTGATCTACTTAAATGTTAAAATTTATGTCGTATAGGTTCCTTTCCAAACACCCATTCGGCCACAGTTGAAGAATTGCACAAAGGTTAGTTTACTATTCAAATAGACAATACTTTGACATAATATAATATTGGAAACACTAAGGAGAGTATGAAGTGGGCGGAGGGGGTGTAATACCATTGGAAATATTAGACACGAGCGGATCGTTTGAATTTCCAGCGATGAGACGACTGGCCATCTCTGCAGGTATTCAGTGATTGACAAATAAAGAGTACAATTACTTTATAGTATTCGTTATATTATCTATTAAATGGTTTGCTATAACTGTTTGCTATAATAGGAGACGCTTTTGCACTCATCTATGCGATCGATAGCTCCGAGTCTTTTGAAGAAGTGAAGCGATTGCGCGAAACCATACTTCAGGTGAAGGGAGACGTCTACTGTCCGATAGTAGTCGTCGGCAATAAATCTGATTTACCCGACGATACCCGAGCCGTTAGTATAGAGTTAGCGGAGTGTGAATGCATTGATTGGGACCACGGATTCGTCGAGTGTTCGGCAAAGAATTGTCAAAATATTATCAATATATTCTCTTCGATGTTAATTCAGGCCAGACTTAAGGGCTGTCTAAACGTCACCCAAATCCTAGCCTCCAACTCATCCAAACATTCACATCATTCTCGAGATCGCAATCATGGAAGTGAAGGCAATCGGACGCATAACCAGCGCCGGCGTTCAAGTCTTCCCATAAGCCAACTCTTTCATCGATCCCAACCTCCGCTCTCCGGCTTAGGTCAACACCAGAGTCGAGACAGAGATAGCATTGCATTTCGCAAACGAAACAGTTGTACTCCTTCTTAAGCCATACACTTTATTGTTGACAAAACACTTTTCAGCAATCATTGCGATTAGCGTTTGTTTCGTTTTATATCAATACATAAAACGACAAACATTTGTCCTAATTAATTAACCATGCAACATGCAAAATGAGTCTAGAGTCTTGTAAAAAATCACATTTATGTAAAATCACCTTTAAGTCATTTTTGTAGAATCCTATGATCACTCCTCATCAGTATAACTACTGTATATTAAATAATAATGATGATGGTAATATACATTCACAATAATCATTGCATATCTATTTATATTAATTTTGTAGAAATAGAGCTCAAATGGAAATCAATTCAAAAATAAATTAATGTGTATTTTAATCTTTAGCTAATCATTAGAAAAGTAATGATAAAAGTAAATCATTTCCCATTTGTTACACAGTTTAGAAACAAATGCGAGTAATTGGTGTGATAGCATCATGGTATTTAATTGTGACAAATTGTGTCTCTACTAACACAATATAATGATTACTTTTAATGATAAGTGAGAACTATTTGTCGCGATTCAATATCTCAATGTAACTTATTTTTTGACCAAAACATTATGATAAATGACTCCAAAATATATCAAAAACTTCTTTGTATTGTCATATTTCCAAGCATTTCAGTAAAACAAATCAATAGTATTGTCATATTTTCCCATTTTCTCATTTCATTCAAGTTATACATTATTATTATTATTTGGTTTAAATCTTACAAATGATTATTTAAGTCAATGAGTAGAAGACTAATAAATGACTGAATGAATGCGAGAGAGAGAGAGAGAGAGAGAGAGACCAAAAATTTAAGAATGATTTAAATTAATGATAGATTTAATGATAAAATTGATGATTTGGTGCAAAAGATGGCACAAACAACACAACACTACAATATTCTGATAGCATTTCTACATTAATTTGTTTCTTTTACATGTAGATTGCCTTTCGATTCTTTACCATGTCTAATATTTCTAGTATTTATTTGTTATCAACATTTTAGTATTATGTAATTAATGAAATAACATTTTCATTTTAATTATTATTTATCTACTAACGATTTATCTCGTAAGTAATTTTTAAATAGATTTAACTTTTTTAAATATACTTTAAACATAATTTACAATAAAAATATTCTAATAAATAAAAGTTTTTTGCTGGAAACTATTTATTGTGTATATTATTAAATAGTAATTATCACTTTTAAAGACAAATATATTTTCTAAATATGTTGGTTTAGATATCCAGTATTTTTGATGCATTTTTCAGTGTATTTGTTAAAACACTTCAATGGATAAAAATATGCAACTCAAATGTTGTAATAATATAAATAAATGGTTAGAACTATTGGATGAGTTAATAAAATTCAAAACATGAAAAATTTGTTCATTAATTGTAATCATCAAAAGAGAAGTTAAAAAATGGCTGAAAAAATTGCAAAAAATTTATTGACAATAAATATAAAAAAATAATGTAAAGAATTTGGAAACGATTGATGTAATGGTTTTAAAAGCATGTATCTATAAATTGCTAATTACTCGGTGGGCAACTGGTTGTGGGGTTGAGTAGTGGCTATAATCAAGATCACAGACTCTGTGTGCATAATATTTTGTCTGATCCTATACTCTGTGGTGAGACAACAATTTGAGGGCTTCGGTGATGGCATGCAAAGAATGTTGTGTCCGGTCATCGACACATTGACACAACACTAGGAAATAGCATTTATTGCAATATTTATTATGCAAACAAAATAACAATAAATAAAATTTTTAACTCATAAAAGGGTTAAAACTATATTTGCCATAAAATATATTCGTTTATACATTATATATAACATATTTTTAGTTATAAATCTAAGCTTATTATTGTTTAATGTAACTTTGTTTATGATAATTTTAGGAATGCTTAACATTATGCATAATGTGTTAAATAGAGTTCAAGTGATCAAGGTGAAAGACTTTTAAGAGATTTTACAAATTGTTTATTTTCATATTTAACAAAATTTGAAGTTAATTATTGAAGTTTGAAATAATTATTCAGATATTCAGTTGATACAGTATACATATTTTAAACATTTAAATGGTGTTATTTATTTAAATGGTGTTAAATATGAATAAAACTAATTTATATATTTAACTAATTAACATGGATATGTGTGAAGTAAAAATATTGTCACAACGATTGCACAATAATCGCAAATCTAAGGGATTATTTTATAATGATAGCCCTTTTATTTTAAAACTAAAACAGGATTATAACAGTTATAAATATACAAATATAAAGTATACGTAATGTATTATGTTTTAAGTCATCATTTGTTTATTATTAATGTTATGTTTATAAATTTTGTTAATTATTTAATTAGTTACAAAATAATTTTTATTAATCTCAACCATTTATCCAGTTAAATTTTAACTGTTGGATAATTTATTTTTAAATATCTTAATATTTTAGAAGCAATAAAAACTTGTATTGAAATTTGACATTTAGTTTAGATCTAATTTTCGAGAATTGTAATAATTATTAAAAAGTTTATTGTTCTTTGTAATTGTTATTTTAAATCATTTTAACATAATTTGAATTGTATTTATGCTATTATTAATATGTATATTAATATTTTTAATTTGTGAAAATTTCAATGTTTGTGGACAATGCAAAAGCTTAATTAATACTGTATCCATCGATCTTATAAAATATTTATTTGTGTAATTAAACATCTTTGAAAATAATTTTTAAAAATTAATTTTAATATAAATAAAATTCAATATAAGATAAAATGAAAATTAAAAAAAGAAAATATAACTAAAAATCGTTTTACTTTTACACAAATTCTTTAATAATTTGGGAATTTAACGAATCGATTGGCGATTTTTATTGATTGTAATTTTGAAATAATAAAAAATGTGATCAAATATTTAATAAAATATAAACCTATATGATAATCAAGATTAAACTCAAGGCCTCAAACCATTTTAATGGACTAAATGCTAAAATCTAATTAAAAATCGTCTCTAATTAGACCTTAAAGTAATTCAAAAATTATTTTCAATTTTTATATAAATATCGTATTTAAAAAGAAATCAATGCATTTATACTATAAATCAAAAATTTTTATAAATTATATTTAAATTTATTGATTAATAACAGGAATTAATGGCAAATAAATTGTTCGGAAAGGATTTTATCAAATAAAATATTTAATTAAAAGTTACAAGTTGTAACATGTATTTAATTGGAATTAATATATGTTTCTCTTGAAACAAATGAAATAATTCCAAATCTGAAAATGTTTTGAAAGGATATCCTTTTAGAACATATTTCTATTCATTAAGGATATGAATAGAAAAGTGTTTTCATCTAATTTACTAAATTATTACTCATTTCATAAGCAGATAAATCAATATAACATGAAATTAAAATTAATTAAAATAATAAAAATACAAAATTGTATTTTGAGATTATATAATGACGAGTATTGAAGTAAACGATAATACAGTGAAAACAAAATGTTTGTTTTTACTGTTAATCAAATGGTATTTAGTAGTGATAAATGGGTTAATCCTATTAATCTCATTATTGAGCGGAATAATGATTTTGATTATGTTCTTCGCGTCACTTCTTTCGTATGGTTGGCAAACATTGGGCACGTGTTTGGCTTCATTGATATTAGTTGCCAGTATTGTCTTCATCTCAAGAACTGGATTCAATGCGAGTCTATACGAAATGCGAGACAAAATGATTGTATACTGTAATTGTTTGATTATTGTTTTGATAATCATGACAATAATTATCATTACAATTATCATATCAAACACTAGCGACTATACGATGTCTGTTATCACTGCATATTTCATCTTAATATTGACTACTATTTTGGCATTTGTTAACTCAAACTCAACAACAATTACCCAAACATTTCCGGACTCTATTCGTACGGATGAATAAAAAAGTGCATAAATTTTCAATTACTTAAATTAGTGAACCCAGACTTTCTAATACAAGACTTTAAGTGAATTTTATATAATCATGTCTAACACCGTTATTAAGCACATTGTATTAAATATCTAAATAATTGAATGTAAATTAACTAATATTATCTGTATGTCTGACAATATTAACACTACGGCAATGTTTGAATTGAAAATATTTGAGATGTTATTTAACCGTTACACTAAAAACAATTTACATTATTATTACATTACTATTAGTTTAACTTTTCTTCACTTTTATAATTTACCTGTTTTTGATTCAAACTGAAGGACATAAACATTTAAATTGAATGTTACATAATTTGTATGCATATTGTATTGTTTGCTTATTTACTTAATTTAAATCAATAATAAATATTTTTCATTGTATTTTAAGGTAAAATATTCATAAGAGAATGACATTATCTTTTATTAGAAATGTAATCATTTAAAAAATGTTCAAAAAACAGAATAGTTTTACATTAACTTTTATATGACTGAAAGCATTTTATATCAAAAACAGGTAAATTATAAAAGTGAAGAAAAGTTAAACTAATAGTAATGTAATAATAATGTAAAT